TGAAATGGTAACTTTTACAGTATTTGTATCACCGAGATTGCACGTATGGGTAGCTTCGGCCCGAATCTTAACTTCTTCTGATGTTTTTCGGTGTTCAAATCACACCACTACCACCATGGTAATCTTGATTAGGGTATCATCAAAGTCACGATGCTTCTCTATTATCATTTATTCTATGTGAATTTTGATATCTCAGTGAACTGAGATATTTGCGAACTACTTTACTGTTTACCCTGTACTGTAGTTAATACAATTTTATGTTCCATAACAGTTTCGGGTTAAATATGCTTCTAAAATCGTTTCCTACTCATATCAAAGCAGATTCTGGCCGAATAGGATTACCGTATCAAACAACGAGTGTCGATCGGTCATCCATATTTATTCACTTTAACTCACTTATCTTCGATCCTATCATATCCATTCCTTTTCTATGCATCAGCTCCGCTCTGAATGGTGTTCAGCTATTGGATTCGGACTCAAAGCTGGCAATCAGCAATTTTGACCATCACCACACAAACTATTATACGTGTGAGACCAGTTGGCCGGGGTCGCCAGAGAAATATGTGTTTCTATTCCAAGTGGAGATGGCCAGTAAGTTGTTGATTTTACTTCACACATAACGTTTTTTCAATGTTTCATCCCCTTTTGTTTCATTTATGACGGGGTTGTTTCTCCAACCGAGAACTAACCCAGCGGTCACAGCACCAATTGATTAGAGACCAGGTAAGGCACATAATCATGTATGGTAATGAAAATCAAGGCTTCATTGAATGAACTCATTGTTAGCGGGTAAAGACTCGGAAATGTATTGTCTTCGACTTATTTTACACCAAGCTGGCTAAGATCGTGCGTGTGATGGGATTTCATATGAGAACACAGTCATCTTTTCCACAATTTAACCAATCTAATACCTCCTCTAACTGTTATAATTATCTCTGCATTGTGACCATTCGTTCCATGGGAATTAGACCAGTATTAATTCTGGTTAATTTGTGTTTTGCGGACGATCATCGTTAGAATTAGTTACCCTGATGTTTCTCTAGAAAGTCATCCAATCCGCTGCAAGGACATAATTCGAAAATGTTAACCGTGTGATCTAAATTGTCAAGGTCTAACATTTGACTTGAAACTCATCGTCAATTTGCCACCACTAATGCGGAACCCAATTAATTTATCCCATGCTAATGAAGTAATGTTTAAACATTGGGTTATATTACTGTGTTTCATCTCTGTGTATGTTGGTTTGCTTTGACTGTCTTGTTAGTATTACCATAAGGAATATGACGCTTGAGCGGTGTCTTTATATAATAAAACCAAATAATTGTATCTAAAAAAAAACGATTTCTTCGCAAAATTTACACAGATGGTGAAAACTCCGGCTTGAAAATGTATAGGTTAGGCATAGAGTCCCAAGAAATCGAAATCAAGTACTGCGACAAGTACCTTGATCCAAGATATATCAGTGGTTGAAAAATGTGCTGCGCATGTCTCCGACTAAATACCTAGTCGAGTACTGTAGGAAAATGAGACAAATGTAGCCATCCAAGATCTGTTATAAAAACATCACACCAAATACCGGGCCGAACAGGTTGCGTTAGGCTCCTTGCTTAGGGTGTGAATCAGCTGTAGCCAATCGATGATTAAGGATGCCAAGCAACGTAGCTGCGTATCACACACAGATGTGTCCAGGCATCTATTTACCAGAATCATTCATTTTGTTTAATTCCTTCCACAATATTGCCCTCACAGTTTTTCTCAGAAATTTTCCGTTTGACCATAGTAACTGAAACGACAACCAGTCTTGAGATGCCTCTGTATGATGAAGTTGTCTTACGATTCTGAAGGAATTGATCTGGTTTATTGTTACATTAGTGTTGTGTCAATGCAAATATAATGGACCGGACTTTTGACGGCATTTTCCGACCCACATTTCCATTTCAGCACTGTATACACCGAAACGCTCAGATTTCTCACCACGATTGAAAAAGAATCAACCTTACGTTGTTCAAATTGGAGCGGATGCTGAGCTACGTTACTATTTTGACCAATCACCAGCTAATTCATTTGCCACTGATCATATGTCCAATCCAGCCCCGATGCTACAGTAAGTTAGACATTTTAACAGTCTTTACGAATGTGTTTATCATGTAGATCCAATGGGTCGTAAGTCTGTACCTACAGTAGACTACTGTTGTGGGAACTCTCAAACATTTTAAGTTTGGTTTCCTGTAAACAGCTTTTGTACATGCTCTCGAAGCGACTGCCAGAGAATGTGCCAACGATTTTCCCACATAGCGTTAACCAAAGTTAGTCATGTTTCTATTTCTGTAAGATGTGTTGGTAATGCACTATGTACAAAATGGGTTGTTCCCCAATTTCGGGTCAGTCTCCACGTGGACTCTTCTGTGATTAGCTCTCGGTGAGGATGAGAGTGGGAATGAATCGTGTAAATTTATTACTGGTTTGAGGAATCTGGACGATGGAAGGATAATTAAACGCAAACATCCTCACCGCTTGTTTTCGCACCGCTTCAAATGAGTTCTGCTGAACCACGCGGTGTTTGCATTCTTGAAAATATTTTCGATAGACTTAACATTCTAAATAAAAATCGTGACAAGCATATAATGTCTAAAAC